CCCTCTCTCCCTCTTTTCTCTTTTAATATCATGTTTTCACTTAACATAAATGTAATGTATGGCAAAAAAAATTATCGAAATCGGTCCATATCTTTTTCCAAGTAATAGAAATTTTGAAAATGTGCAATATTTAGCTGCGTTCGAGTCCAGCACGTCCTTACTTGTTTATTTTTTGTTTAGTGTGTCGAATGTGGCGATGGCACGTGGAGCCAAGAGAAAATCGATAACTGACGCGTTGCGCTTTATGGGAAAAATGGCAAGCGGAAAATGACTGAAACAACATACAATGTTGAAATATACCGCCATACCTAGATACTATACAGCTTATCTATGTGAGAGAAATATTGTTATAGGTATTACAATCGATAAACAAGCTAATGTCAAGGTCTGATTTGATATCTATGGTACAAAAAATAACTATTTAAGTCTTATAGGTTAGGTTTGATAAGAAAAACGTCTCACTCACGCACCAGCAGAATAATTAGCCGTTATAAAAAGTTTACAAGTGAATAAAGATAACCATTTTCTCCGGCTGTGCAATATTTTCCACTTTAACAATAAGGAACTGCCTATGGCAGACGTGTCGGGTTACTTTATTTAATTAAAAGTCAAGATTATAAAATTTGTATCATATATATCTGTAAATGTGTGTTATTTTGGGCTTCCAAAGTAAATTGTCTAAATTTTGCAGACTTTGACGATGTAACCAACAAAAAATCGAACAAAATCCTGTTGAATAAAAAAAAATATTCCAAGGAAAATCAAAACGGTTTGAAAAATTAGAACTAGAGTTTGTAAAAGTTTTGAGTCAGTTAAAAAAAAGTAAACAATTTAGATTTTGCTTATCTTGAATGCCAAACAAAATATATAGCAGCACTATAAATAGTCACAACACATCATTTAATAACTAAAGACGGCTTTGTCTTACATTTAATTTGGCGCCAGTTGAGTGAAGCGACAGTTAAACGCTAAATAAATAAATAAAATTGTATTTATATTGAAACAACATTGCGTTTTGGCGTCTTGGCAAAATATGGGGAACAAAGTACAAACGAGCTGCTCATATGTTATGTGTGCATGTATGTTGTGCGAATTTGGCAACATTTAAAAGCTCGACTTTCAAGCAATATTTCTCACTTCAGAGAAAAGACATCTGTGTATTTATATAGTTTGATAATCACATAAACAAACGGTTGTAAGTGGTTGTGAAATTTGTTATGTCTGCGATCAAATTGCCGCATCACACTTGTATTCGCTGAAGCTGCTGTTGTGGCTCAAAGCCAAAGATAAACATACGTAAAAATGTTTCCATGAATTAGAAGTTTCAGAAAAAAAAAAATAATAATTAAAATTTGCACTCTGTACCATAGGAAGGAAAAATTGTCGACCATTGCAATTCGAAAAGAGACAAAGAAAATTGACACCTTAATATATACGATAACTTCAATAACATGCGTCTTCAATATCCCTCTAACGAATTTTGTTTCGATTTATTTTTACCAAAAAACCCGGTGAAAATTTATTTAGGGGATGCCCCGAACGAAAATTTTTTTTTTTGAAAAATCAATAAACTGGAAGTTATCCATAATAATTTTTGTTCTCAGTGTAAAATTAATGTGAAGGCTAATGGTAAGCCAAATCTTGTTAACACGTATATTTTTCTTCGTTAAATGTATAATACACACGAACATATATTCATAACATATTCGAATATATTATATAACATATTCGAACGTTATATTTTGATCATAGCTTATAGACACCTGACCTCAATATTTGAAATTCTATTCATTACTTATATTTTTTTGTTTATCAAGTTATGAAATACTTGTTTATTTAATTCCACAATATTTAATTTTATTTGTTTCCATGTTGTTGTTGAAGCGACAAATGAAGGAAACAAATAGACAAAATTATATTTCCATCATTTTTAACAGCTGCTGAAAAATGCACCACCCACATTCATGTAAACAATAACATACCGCTGTTTAGAACGTAAAAGCTCGTAAAAGGAAAGACAAACTGATTTTAAATAAAAGCATTTCGATAAAAATTGAATACATTTCAATTTCAATACAATTTCTATAATTAATAGAACAACCAAAATTCTTGCAAGTAATTACTTTAAAGCTAAATTAATATAAATTATAGCAAATTCCAATTAAAATATTGTTAGCAGTTCTGAATGTGCAAAAAATGAACACACCAACATTTATAAAAACAATATCATGAAAAGTAAACATAAATATAATTAAACGCAAATTCAATAGTTTTTTTTTTACTATATCGACTCGTCTTACATTATTGAACTGTAATAATCGTACACATAAATTTCCGTTCAATGATTTCTATAGCAACAAACAAAATGCAATCGGCGAACAAATGCAATTACAATTTCACTGTAATTTGCCTTGGCATAAAAACCTCCTTTTTGGTTTCCTTTTTTTTTTTGTTTGGAGTTTTTAAAATGTGCATTTGCTGGAGTGCAACAGCGTGCAACAAATTGCAATTGCTATAGAACATATAAAGTAAAAAAAAAAAATACAGACCGAAAACAGCTTGGGATGTTTTCTCATATTCTATTACGAATAACAAAACTAATGAAAATTGTGTAACACACATTAATAGTGGCATTTGTTGGTAAAAAATTTACCTTATTAGCTTATATGAGTTAAGAATAACCAAATACGGAAATTTAAACGTGTTAAAAAATATATTTCCAGGCGTTGTTGATCAATAGAACATAGAAATATGGGCATATGTACATATGTACGTATGTAGATATCTGCCTACAACCGTCAGCAATATGACCTGCTCCACTTGTTGCGTTTACAACAACGTCTTCTTTACTTTTAGCTTTTTAATGACGTCATTAGGAAAGTTTACTTACGTAAATGTGTAATTCAAGACGTACATACGTATTGAAACATACGTACATATGTATGTATTTACCGAGTAGCAGTTGCAACTTGCAAGTCGTGCGTCATTAACTTTTTATTTTGAGATATATACACGACTTAAAAACGATAATTAGCAATACAAGTTTTGCAAAATTACTAATTTATAGTGATTAATTGTACATAAAATAATAATCAGAAATGTATCAATTTCAGCAACGAAATTAATATTTTAATAAATACTTATTTAAAGTTCATTATTTTCTAATATTATGCATGTGTACTGAAAATAAAACAGCAAACATTATTCACGAATGTGCTAGTAGTTTTGAAAAATTTTAAACAATTTCTTAAATCGCATGCGATGCACAGTCTTGGATTGAATGCAAATATAGCAACAAATCCAAATACCGTACGATATACACATACACAAGTGTGAGTGATGAGCTATCGCTCAATACATTAGTTATGCACCGATTATACACAAGAAAAAGCGAGAGCGCATTATGACGTATAGTGAACAGCACCCAATATAAGTATTCTACCAACAAAAAAAGTTAATTGGAATATTTTATTCATCTCAAACTAGAAAATTTGATAATTGGAAGTTTAGCAACAATGCAATTTTATAGCTAACTAATGTTTAGTAGAAAACAAATATATTTTTATGTTTGCTTATAACTTTTGATTTAAATGTTTGCTTATAATTTAGCTTATCTTTTTTACTTACCACAATAGCCATACACATTTGCGTCCGCTTAAACAGAATGGACGTTTAATTTACAGAAATTTTTCTATGGAAGGCGCACCAAAAATATTTTCTATTTAAGTCAATGCAATAATGCTTTATTAATACAAACGTATACTAGACACTTGTTAATACACAAACACTTGGTACAACTATTAGTTAGCAAAATGCATTAGCAATAAATTGTTGATACCTTACTCTTTTTATCAAGAGTTTAAGTGAAAACACTGCTGTTTAATTAACAAATTTTTCATCAGTAATGTTGCTTATTAGTCACTGCAGAAATATTCAATCGCCGCTACACTCCAATGGATACGGGCGTATAACCTCAATTTTGAACAATGATTTGATACCGAAAATTTGCTAAAAGTTCCTATAGCAGAATCGCCTACAATAATATATTATTTAATAAATTTATTTCACTCGATTTGCTTCGAGTTTACTTAAAAATTCCAGTAAAACTACAATTCTGTGCACACAATTTACTTTTAACTTCTCAATAGCTTCAGAAAATCGTTCGAACAAACTCTTCCGAATTTTACCAAAGTACTAAATTCACATCGCTAAAACACGAAAGAAAAAGTCAAATTCTAAATTTATATCAAGAAACCATCAGCTAGTTTTGCGCGTTAAAAAGAAACAACAATCATATTTGCAGTTGGAAAATCTGTTGGTTTCAGTTGCGCTACCAGAAAGCCGGTGTTGCTTTTGCTTTGGAAACACAGCCACGCAGCTGTTTTTTGACAACACTAATTTGAATTAGCATTTTGAACATACCTTAAGAAAAATTCGTGGGCACTGCCAGTTGCGAGGACAATTAGTGGAGAATTTATTATTATTAAAATTTATAAGTCAAGGAGAAAGTGGATTTTAAAATAATATGTTAATAAGTTTAAAAATAATATATTGGTAAAAACAGTATTCGGATTTATATATTATGAATACAAAAATTGTATTTTGTTAACATAAAACACAACTTGCTGGAAAATACTTGTTTATAATTAATAAAACAAAATAATAGAAAAAATATTTAATTTAATTTAAAAGAACAAAAACTAAAAACTAACTTTATTGTAGGTAAGTGCTGACCAACACAATAACATTTTGAGTAATTGTTACACATGTTACTGTTAACATACTGTAAACATATACCTGGGTTATGTACATCACACTGTTCACCAAAAACAAAACCCGATGCCTACCTTCATAAAAGAGGTGACATAGAAGGAAGCAACCTGCCATAATTTTAATTGTAATTGGATATCCTGTTTCTCCACACAGGAGTAACAAATTTTTTACTTATATACAAGTGAACAGTAACATGTAGTTAACATATTATATTTGCTAAACGGATACCCGTCTTTCAGGGTTGTTTTATTTATGTAAAATTTCAGAGTATGGCAACTGTGTATATGAAAACATTGAGTACAATAACAATTCTTAGCATAAAAACGTGGTATTAATTTTATTATACTATACTGTAGCACTGAATTTTCTCAGAAACGTGTGATAACGGTATAGTGTGTAAAGCAGAAATCCTTGGTAAAGGTTATTTTGTTTTTAACAAATTATTGTTAAATAATGTTGGCTACGGTAAAACATTTACTCGCACAAAAGCGTATAGTATTGGCAAGCAGTTCTCCACGACGTCAGGAGCTGATAAAGTCAATTGTGGGTTTGAGCACTTTTAGTAGAAGACATTATAAAACTACCTACTAATATCACTATTTTCAGGGACTCAATATTGAGTTATGTCCATCTAATTTCGAAGAAAACTTGGACTATCATGATTTTGAGGAATTTGCTGGGTTTGTTGAAGCAACTGCTGATGGCAAGGCTGAAGAAGTGTATCAACGCTTGCACACCGCTGATCCTGCATCGGATTTACTGGTTATAGGCGCCGATACAATGGTCACGTTGGGTGATGACGTGTATGGCAAGCCAAAGGATGCCGCTGATGCTGTTCGCATGCTGACGAAGTAAGTGGTAGCAAGCAAACACAGTGCATGAACAGCGACTTGAGTGAGTCTGTTTGCTTTAAAGAGTAGTGATTCTGCAGCAAAATCAAAATACTTACTTTGAGTGCCTATATGTTTAATAATCTTAACACTGATTCCAATGTTGCTGCAGTCTTTCCGGCAAATGCAATCGCACGCATACGGGTATTGCGCTGCGTCACAGTAAAGGCAGTCGACATTTTACTGAAACTACTGATGTATACTTCGGTGAATTGAGCAAAGAACAAATTCAGGACTATGTTGATAGCGGCGAACCGCTGTTAGTATTTACAATTACTAAATTTATAACAAATAATAATTAACATGATTTATATATATTTGCAGTGATAAAGCGGGCGCCTATGGCATACAAGGAATTGGAGGCTCCTTAATTGCCAAAATTGAAGGTGACTATTACTGTGTCATGGGTTTGCCATTACATCGACTGTGCAAGGAAATCTGTGCTTTGCTTGAGGAAACCGAAAATGGTTTCTCTGCCGAAAAGAAAACTAGAAAAGAGTGATATTAACTGGAATGATCGATAGCGCCTTTTCCACCTCAGATATTCAATGTGAATATAAAAGTCATAGATATATTTATAAGTGATCTTAGTGAATTACTGATTGTCAATAAAATTAAATGACAATCTGTTTATACAAAAAAAAAAATTACAAAAATGTCTTTCGATAAACAATGTGTATGGCTGAGCCGTCTCTGAATACAGATAACGTGAAAAACGCTTTAAAGTTTTGAGAGCCGATTAGACTAAGCTAGAAATTTTCTTACAAGTACGCTCTTATCTTCGAAACTATTTGCCGAATCAACTTCAAATTATGTTGTGGTTGTTGTTGTAACGGTTACCTAGTCCCCGTTTGGGTGATAAATTCCAGATTGGTTGCCGTCGGGGTCATCTAACGGGAGGCCCAGGAAACGAGCTGTTTCGACAGGGTCGGATCATAGGGAAAAGGGTGTTAGATGAGTGGGGTTTGTTGGGCAGGCAAAGAGGTGGTTAGTGTCATGCGGAGACTCATTGCACGCAGGACATGTGTTTGGTATGTTGGGGTCTATTCTGGATAAGTAGGTGTTTAACCTGCTACAATATCCAGAACGAAGTTGCGCGAAGGTCACTCTAGCTTCGCGAGGCAACTCGAGCTCTACGTCTGCTATGGGTGGTGGTTTGACTCGTAATACGCCATTCTACGAAAACATGCCAGCAGAAACTGCTTGGAGAGGAGCTCGTTATCGCGGTCGTGTGAGGAGTGAAGGAGCAAAGACTGTCTAGTGTAACGCCTAAAATTTTAGGGTTGTTTACTGTCGGAATTTTGGTGCCATCGACTGAAATGTTTAGATCCAGTCTGTACTCCTTCTTCCAGTTCGTAAATATGGTCGCTGTGGATTTAGTGGGGGAGAGTGTCAGACTCCTTGCAGAGAAGAAGCGAGAAAGATCAGAGAGATAGCTGTTTACTTTCGAGCACATGCCATCGATTCCATTGCCCGACGTCAATATCGTGCAGTCATCAGCGTACGAGGTCACGGAAATTCCCTCTGCTGGTTGAGGGAGTTTCGGGGTGTAGAAGTTAAACAGTAAAGGGGAGAGGACACCACCCTGCGGAATCCCCTGTTTAANCAACTTCAAATTATGTTGTTGTTGTTGTTGTAACGGTTACCTAGTCAATCATCGCAGGACATGTGTTTGGTATTTCGGGTTCTATTCTGGATAAGTAGGTGTTTAACCTGCAAAATATCCAGAACGAAGTTTCGCGAAGGTCACTCTAGCTTCGCGAGGCAACTCGAGCTCTACGTCTGCTATGGGTGGTGGTTTGACTCGTAATACACCATTCTACGAAAACATGCCAGCAGAAACTGCTTGGAGAGGAGCTCGTTATGTTCCTTAACCGGAAGCATACGGGCATCACTGTGTAGGTGTTCGATTGGGGACATCAAGAGGCATCCCGTGATAGTCCGGAGTGCAGTGTTCTGACAGGTCTGGAGCTTCTTCGTCTGCGTGGCACTACATCCAGGCGACCATATTGGGGCTGCATAATTTAGGACCGGCCGGCCGATTGCCTTATATGTCGCCAGCAACGTTTCTTTGTCTTTTCCCCAAGAGCTGTCGGCAAGCGATTTGAGGATTTTGTTGCAGCTCTGTACTTTGGCAGTTATCGCGGTCGTGTGAGGAGTGAAGGAGCAAAGACTGTCTAGTGTAACACCTAAAATTTTAGGGTTGTTTATGGTCGCTGTGGATTTAGTGGGAGAGAGTGTCAGACTCCTTGCAGAGAAGAAACGAGAAAGATCAGAGAGATAGCTGTTTACTTTCGAGCACATGCCATCGATTCCATTGCCCGACGTCAATATCGTGCAGTCATCAGCGTACGAGGTCACGGAAATTCCCTCTGCTGGTTGAGGGAGTTTCGGGGTGTAGAAGTTAAACAGTAAAGGGGAGAGGACACCACCCTGCGGAATCCCCTGTTTAATTCTTCTCAGTTTGGAGTTTTGACCCCGAAATAGTACGGATGATTGCAGACCGCTCAGGTAGTTCATGGTCCACCGCTTCAGCCCTGGAGGGAGCGTAGATTGTTCGATGTCCTCAAGTAGCGTTGTGTGGTTGACTGTGTCGAAGGCTTTTGACAAGTCCAACGCAACGAGGATCGTCCTCTCGCAGGGTGGCTTCTGGTTTAGGCCATGAACTATCCGGGCATTTATGACGCTAAGTGCTGTGGTAGAGCTGTGCACTTACCAGAAGCCATGCTGATGTTCTGCTAGGCTAAGGGGGTAAGTAAACGTCGGGAGTACCAAGGCCTCAAGTGTCAGATTGGGAATCATGCTGTCTGTGTGAGCTCCTTAGGGCCGTGGAGGTCCTATCTTGGCCACTTGACTGGAGTGGCGGCGCAGTGCGCGAACATGGTGCAGGTTACACAGCCGTTAAGGCAGATGTCGCAGTATTGCATTGACAGCATGGGGCCACGTAACTCGTGGTCCACTCCCTGTGTGTCTTAAGGCCTGAACAGGTCTTAAGATGGTTCCATCCATTGCATGTATTGCACCTAAACGAGGTGGAGTTTGGATGGAGCCTTCTAGCGCAAACGCAGCAACAAAATTCCTCGGGGCCCGGGTTGGTCTCAATGCCAGCACGGTTCAAGAGGATACGGAGCAACCCTGCTGCAAGGTGTTGCTCTAGTGACGACAGACTTAGACTAACAGTTACCGATCTAAACAGGGTTAGATCGCCGAAATAACAGCCTTTGGCCGGATAAAATTCGGGTCAATTCCGGTAACGTAGAACCGGCTGTTGTGGGAATTGTCAAATTATAAGAGAATACATTCATACATATGATTAAGAAAATGCGATATATTTGCGTAACAAAAAATTTTTTTTTTGAAATTCACAAGTGGATATATTCCCTAAAATGATGATGATGTCAGCCTTGTTTTAAAGAAAAAATTGTTTCACAAAACTTGAATTCTCGAAAAATTACCACTGGTTATTAGTAATATTGAAACTTATTTAAAGTTTTACGGGTTCTTTAATTAAAGAAATATGCTTATATGGTGATAACAGCACAGTGCGATGCTAATATCTGAGTTAAGCTTATGTATTGTACACACATATATATTTTTATTCTAATTAATTGTTTCAAATTCGTTGAAAAATATATTTTTGTTTACTTTTTTATTCAGTTCGAACCAGTGAACGGTGGTTTGCTTACTATTGACTAATTTCATATCAGCAATTCAGACCAGTTGGAAGTCGAATTTGCCAAATTTATTTAAGTATGCATCAATTTATTTGTTTAGAATTTTCTCTTAATGCTATTTTCTTCTAATCGCTGCACTTAACAAAAGCTCTAAAGAAATATATAAAATAAGAAAGAAAAAAAGTTAACTTCGGCTGCACCGAAGCAATAACAAAAAAGTTTCTGTAGAGGAACTAGATTTTTTTCGGTCAGTTTGTATGATAGTTATATGTATGCTATACATAGTAGTACAAAATTGGCGGTTCTGACAAATGAGCAGTTTTTGGAGTAGAAAAGGGTGTGTATCAAAATTTCAGATCGATATCTCAAAATGTAAGGGACCAGTTTAGATATATACAGGCAGACGAATGGGTAGACTTACGCACGATATATTTAATAGTTGTCCGAATTTCTTTATTTATTTATTGATTTATCGCGCTTTTAGTAGTTTTTAACAGAGCCGTTATATGGGGAGTGGGCAGGGTGATCACCCGATTTCATCCATGTTTAGAGTGTCGGTAGATGTGATTAATAGATTTGTCTAAAGCGAGTTTGTTGATTGTACCTTAAGTGGTTTAGGAGACATGTACATTAAACCACTTACAGGGCGGCGCCACACCCATTTTTTCACAATTTTCAGCCCACAGGTGCCTCTTACCAAATTACAGTTTTATATCTTAATTTATTGCTTAGTTATGACACTTATAACTATTATATCGTATAATTTTTTTTGTGTAGTAATCGGTTCAAATTTGATCCGATATTGTAGTATATTATATAAGAACAGAGATACCCTGGAGATAAAATAGAAAATTACGATTATTAATGTATATTATTATTGCACCTTGCTTCACTTTAAAGCTGTTAATATATACCTAAATTTTAAAGGGCGCAAGCACTTAACTATTTCTCATCAGTAATACACAGGTGTGTACTCTAATGAATGTTATGATTTGATGAGTGTACAACAAAATCTAGAATGAAAAATGTAGTATGGTAACGGTTAAGTAAATAAACAGTTATGCATGCGATCACATACATATAACTAATTATACAAGCCCATGTGGGCGTTATCGGGTATCTTTATCGTCTCCAATATCTTAAACACAACTTTGTTGCGAGATAGCGTCGCTGCAGCCCAAGTAATGTGCCGATTTTTGAGTGTTACCACTACATGCTTATTGCTTCAAAAACAAACTCAAGGTTATCATATGTTATTGTTAAACCAATATTTTGACTGAATTTTGGCAAATTAGACTAAAGCTCTTAAGCTTCAACTTGAGAAAGCACAATTTTAACGATTTCAAAATCAACGCTAAGAGCTGGTATGTAATTGAAAAATATTGTTTTGTGAGTGAGTTTTTCGAATAGTCTAGATAGCTATAAGTCTGGAAATTTTTTTTTGTACCTTTCTTAACTGAATCCTCTGAAATATGAGATGGCGAACTGTAATGAGTGATTCGAGATATTTGTTAGCATAAGTCAAACTTACTTTAAATATGTGCTCTCAAATCAAACTTGACGGACTCTATCACCTTCCTACCTGCTCTCAGAGCTTGTAACGCATATTAACTTAAACCGTTAGACGCTTTGAGGTAGAAATAAGAGCTGCAACAGTTAGATCCACCCTTTTACCAGTTTCGCTGAGCTTTTATAAATTTTAATTATTATCTGTTAGAAACTGTTCCAATTATATAACGCTATTGTGAATGTAGGCTGATAATAAAGCACAAACCATTTCTCAATATAACAAAACCTTTGATTTGAAAAGACCCTTAAAAGGAAAGCTGAGCTCATTTAAATACCCATGACGTAGCCAAGACTATGCGACTGAACGTTTGAGTAGAGATTTCGAATCATTTTTGGAAGTTCTGGCCATTCATTTCTTGGTATACAAAGCATAATTTGATTGTGATGAACTTCAGGTTCATTATAATGGAGAGATACGGAG